AAATTCGGGGGATCCCTTCAGCTCGAGGAGCCCTCTCGAACGCCACCCTCCGCGCATTGTTAGCCCCCCGGGATCGCTTGATCGGTCGGCGCCGGACCGCAAATTTAATCACCCGTAACTCCCGAACCCCGGGGGCTATTGGCGCGGGGGTGGTCTCATTCGAAAGCGGGCCTCTAGATGTACACTCGATTCGCTTCTGCTGGACAAACTAAGTAATTACACCATTTCAAGCATTTTATCTGCGTTATATCTTCTGTAAAAAAAAAAAATCATATCGGCGGCATATTCGCTGATACCGATATATTGGCGACAGGCTCATATCGGCCGATAATATCGGCAAAACGATATATCGGTCGGGCTCTAGTGGACACCTCTGACATCTGATTGGCCACCCAAAATTTAATATGCTACTGTTTCATTTTGTCTGTTTAATCATACTGAAATAAGCATTTGATGAATGTGATGACACAGACAACGCGCTGACAGACAAGATGGAGCAAGTTACTTTTGATAATAAGAAACAAAGTCTCAGCATTTAGATTCTGTTTTATTAAGAATTTCAAACGATGAATACAGTTTAGGAGCTCTTTAGTGGTGGGACGGTTCACGTGCGCTTCTGTTTTGCATCAGTTCAAGTGAAACAGGAGTGCATTCTAATTAGCATGAAATAAACATGAATGAACATCCGAAGGCGTGTTGAAAGATACACTACAACTAACTGAATGTATAGTGTCTCATGTGATCACTCAATGAGTGTTTCAACCACAGAAAGACAGCAGCTTGGAAACACTGTCACATAACCTCAGAAAATCCATTCAGTCTCCATAAACCAGTGAGAAAAATGTACACTAGATAGGTAATAATTACATTTATTATATTTTCACTCATATAATTACTCTTTTTTATTATAATTAATACAATATATAGATATAATGTTATTATAAAAAGTGGTCTAATATGAACTTGTTTACAAATCAATTCTTACTTTTAACCTTAACAATAGGGTTTCCCTGTATAGTTTAGAAAAATAAAAAATAAAAAAATAACGTACTTAATCGCTTGTTAATTATTCCTGTATAATTCTCACTCCAGGCTGAACTCAAAAGTGAAGTTGACAGCCCTGTTTGAAGTAAGTTGAAGTTTTAGGTTTCCTGAACAACATTTACAAAAATCACTGTATAAGTCAATGTTAAATCTTTTACTCCAACCGCTGGTGATAGATGATAGAAATAAGAGAAATAAGTTACAATAGTCTAACATTTGAAGTAATGCTAGGAATGTGTAGCTAATGTGGGGTAATGTGAAGTAATCAGCAATCGTAGGATTTATTCATGCTTTTTTATGCCAGGTTGGAGTTATACACTGATTTTCTGTCATGGTCTAGGGACCCCATGAATTGGCTTGGCCACCGCATGTATAAAACTTTAGCTCCGCCACTGCCACCTAGAGAGGTAGAATAAATCTCGAAACATGTTTTGAGAAAAATATCAGAAAAAAAAACACTTTTTTACTTTGCTTTTTTTACTTTTCCACTTTCTTAACATACTTAAGTATACTTTTAAATAAGTGCACTTTGTAAAAATGAAGTGTGTTAAAAGAGCTTTATTTTTTATGTAATTTATATGCGATGACTAACGTACTAAACTGCAACTTCATCAATACAAATTTGTAATTACAAAAATATATTAAATTCATGACATTCAAGTTTCAACAGAAATGACATTAAAGTATATTTTAGCTTACCATAAATGCTTGTCAGTACATTCAGCAGTACACTTTAATCAAATAATTTTGAAAATAAATACAAAAATGTACTTAAGTCCTACTAAGTGGGTATAAAGCAACATTTTAAATTGCAACTAATTGCATTTAGCATACATTTGAACTGTAATACATGTACATTTAATTGTAATTAACATGCAATTAAGTGTCCGAAAACATTACATTCAGTTCACACTTAAGTATGTTTA